TTCAGTAGTACAACTGCCAGATATCCAGAGGCTTTCATAAATCCAATTAGTAAACGGATTCGTGAAATCGTTTCATCGCCATTCAACTCGTCTCATCTTAATTTGTGGGATTCACTCTCGAGCATTATTCTCTTAAATCCATGGATACAAATGCAACGTCAGTCGCTCTGATCATTTATATTTATTAGCCAACATGCATACAACAGCTAATACTTTTCATAAATATACGTGTATGAAAAATATATCATTAAACATCAAATAAGCATTCGTGAATGCAACGCCGCGATGGTCATTTTTTTCAAACATTTTCTGAATGGTAAATAGCATTCAAAAGTAGCATTTTATGTACAATTACGTGCAGGACCAAGTAACATATTTCACTGAACTCTTTGAGCTCTTCATCCCTTCTCTGTTGGAAGGAACCCCTCTGGCCAATCCCCTCTCACACCCATTTGGTTTTAAATCCCCTCGAACTCTGAATTTGAACTCCATTCCCATCTCGTCGCTAAGTACACTGAGAGATAGAAACCAAACTTGCACCCCCCCTTTTCGACTAAACTCAGGTTTTTCGTTGCACTGAACTCTCAGGACAACTCGTTCAAGCACGAAGCTCAAAAGCATTAGAAGCCAAAGACTAATATTTCATGAACTATGGCATATCACTAGTATTACATTTTTATGCAGGTTCATTTATATCACTATTAATGTGATTAGTATAATTAATAAGCTAGAAGCAAAGCTTTATTCAAGTTTCTAGAGATCTCCTCCTGAATCCATACGACCACTGAAGCGCCCTTTAGGGTGCACGGTTGTTTCCGCGTGTCCTTGCGCTCTCTCAATTGATTCGAATTTATTGAGTGGAACCGGACTCGCATTCTTTTTGCATATGAAACTGCACGGTTGATAACCGTCTCCAGTACAAGTATTATCATACCAGCCAGGAGAATAATAGGGAAATAAACACATCGGAAACGGTGGGTTAAGGTTGTTTGGTTCGCCCGGAATCCAATTAGTATAGTCGAACGTTGAGTTATCTTGCCAGTACCACTCTGATTCTGCGGTATCTTGTTTACCACCGAGCCAATACATATCGGTCGAGTGGAATATCTCTGAAGTGATACGCTGAAGAGGTGAGCAGTTTTATTGTTACTATCACTGTCGCTAATGTCATCATCATTGCTTGTAAGATGGTTGCGTTCCGAAGAACCGAAATTTCTCAACAATATTCTTCAAGCGATTCTCAACTCGTCATCCTTCTCCGAAAGACAGCCATGTGATGACCGTCTTTTGGAGAAGGATGAAGATGTGGACATCTCGTTATTAGATAAGCTTAATGCAAACCTTTTTTGATAAAACTGTTTTCCTCGTCTGAATGCACCGATGCGACGGTTGAATTATGTTGACGACAACCCGCAATAGCTTCATCAAAGCTGTATTTGTTCCACTCAGTGGTATATATCTACAATGTGACGGTTTGGATAATTGTATTCCGATCAGCGTAAACCCGTGTTCCCCAGTTATTCCAGCAAAACCCACCCGTTGAAACTCGGGTATCTAGATAAAAAAGGGTTTCACATCTTACCGGAAGATAGCAAGACTTCGTTTCTTCATAATAAACCCATCCTTTGTCACAGAACATCATCGCACTCACTAAACATAAATATGTAAATCTGTTGACTTAATTACAAGCATCCACTGGATGAGAACATTATTTGAATAAAATATCAATCAGTGAAAATTTGATCATGTGCTGGTGAGAGGTTTCTTTGAGATTGAACAAAATTACCTTGCGATTAGGGCAACTTACCGAGCTGATGGAATGTTCCCTTTATGTTGCATTCGCCGCCTTGATGGAAATTTTCGAATGCATCTTTCACATAAACAGTTCCTTGAGCGATCATACCTGGACCACCTGGGTGAGCATCCGTGAAGAATTGTCTTATCAAGGAGCACGTTGGATTGGAACGCTGATAGGTGAATCCTTGACATTTGAATCCTTCTCGATAACATTCTTGCACACAGTCGTCGAGCGATGCAGTGGATGCGATATTGTTATTGAGTGGAATATATCCATATGTCATATTGGTAATATTAATGTAGAGTGCCGAGATCAGAAGAAAATTGCATGAGATTACAAATATCTGAACGTAAAAGAAAAACAAGAACAAGCAGAGTGGATTGAGGGATGTCTCATGATAAGGTGTCAAGAAAGGTCGCAACCTTTTGAAAGGATTGTGCAAGAGAAGAGGGGTGCGCAAGCGCTGGGATTGTTTCCGGAATAAACTTGAAATGATCCTTAGCTCCACGTTCCCCCTTACATGCCCCTGAACGTTGGGTATTCCTCAACTCCCGAGTAAAGTTCACCTCAGCCTCATGCTTGCTATAGCTGCCTCAGTTTTCATTCAACGGATTTTTGCATCATTTTCAGCCAAACGTATGAAATATTCAGCTTCCCTACGATTGAAGACAGCGAGCCGGCGAGAAAGTTAAGTTGTTTAAAGACAGCCGCTCGATAGTCTTGAAGTTTTGTTATATCTTACCACTGCTTTTGTCCAAATTTGTGGCATGATTGAAGCGGATGACTTCCAAACGCTCCACAACCTACGTCGTAGTCGATTCGACAATGATATCCATCAAAACATGATGATTCTATGGGGCGGAGTGGTGGTTGCTGGGCGGAGTGGCGTATAGAAACGCATATACGATGAGTTGGTATCAGCATGTACTGCGACTTTCATCTTCATATTAAAGTTCTGCTCAATTTTGCATTGAAGTATGATGGTATCTTTTTTTT